AGGCAGGCAGGGCTGAACTTCAGAGCACAGGTCTTAGGAGAAAGGAGTCTCCTTCCTTTGAAGGAAAGAAGGAAGGATGGCAACAGAGACAGATGGAATGGTGAAAGATAAGTCTGACAGAGCTCTCTGGTCCCTTTCCATATATCCACTCAATGTCTAGTGGTATTGATCAAGCAAAGTGCCCAAACCAGGCTTGCCTGATTTCCTGGTGAGTCATTCTCCCTTCCTGTCTTTCTTGCCTTCAGTATCATCCCTGTCTTGGGCAACAGGGGTGGGCTGAAACTCTTTAGACACTTTTTTCTTTTTCTTTTTTTGAGATGGAGTCTTGCTCTGTCGCCCAGGCTGGAGTGCAGTGGCGCGATCTCGACTCACTGCAAGCTCTGCCTCCCGGGTTCATGCCATTCTCCTGCCTCAGCCTCACGAGTAGCTGGGACTACAGGGGCCCGCCACCACGCCTGGCTAATTTTTTGTATTTTTAGTAGAGATGGGGTTTCGCCGTGTTAGCCAGGATGGTCTCAATCTCCTGACCTCGTGATCCGCCCACCTCAGCCTCCCAAAGTGCTGGGATTACAGGCATGAGCCACCGCGCCCGGCCATCTTTAGACACTTTCATGAACCCTGGTCACTTTCATCAGTCCTGTTCCTCTAATCCCATGACTTTTGCACTTCCCTTTAACTATTTGCTGCCTGGGGTCCCCAGACAGATGAATGTGTGAGCATGGAATGTGTGAGCATGGAAGAAGACACCGAATTAATTCTGAGAAAGGAGCATCCTTAACAAATCCTCTCTCATCCTATGATGTCACCCCGTATCACTTATGGTCTTCACTATCCACGAAACTCTTGGTTGAAGGTGGTCCTGTTTGTCCTCCCATTACTTGAGATCACCATTCTCTCCTTCATCAATAACAGGTCTTTATTAAATGACTACTGTCTAGGTTGCCAAGATTTTCCATCTTAACAGAGAGAGTATGCGTGTATGTATGTGATATATATAGTGTGTAAATATATACACATGCATATATATATACACATAATAAATAAAAACAATACCACAAGGTAGCACAAACTGCAAAGTGAATAATATAGGCAAAACAGCTATTAAGCTTGAATCTGGGGCCTTGAAATAAGAGAAAGCTTCAAGGGTGTAGTGTGAAGTAGGCCTTTCATAGAAGGAAGGGTAGGTTTAAATAATAAAAGAAGGAGAATGTTGCCGACAACTTGGCAAAGACCAAGAAATGTGCTTGACAATGTTTAGGGAATAACTAAAAAGCAGTTTTAGGAATCTATTGAGGAATCCAGGTATTATCCTACAAAAATGGGGAGCTACTGAAGGTTTTAGAATGAAGACTGACTTGTATCATGTTTGTATATGTTTTTACAATCAATTTGGAAGAACTGTGTAGATCAATTAAAAAATAAAGGGCAGGGATAATTCAGACACTACTGTGATACTTAAAGTGAGGGTGATAAAGAGCTATAGCATCTTAAAAAGTGTATGCAGTGAGGTGTTGGCAGTGGGGATGGAAAGAAATTGGTGTCTGCCTAGATATAGAACAAGAGCAAGGAGGCCAGCAGCACTATAAGGTTTCATGCAGGAGGAAAAGGAGAATGATGATACTCTGGAGAGAATCAAATAGGAAAATTCAGAGAGTGCAGTTCAGCGAGCAAAGAAGTTCAGTGAAGTTTATGCTATGTGAAACTTGATGATAGGAACACATTTGAGTGCAGATTTAGAAATCTATGACAAGAGCTCAGGGGAGACATCAGTACTGGAAGCGCTGGTCTGGGAATCATTCACATAAGAGGAAATGTAGACGCAAAGGTAGGAGATAAAGTGGAGGAAGGGGAACTAGTGAGGATGGAGGGTGTGAGAAGCAGCCCAAGAGACAGAAGACTAGGAGAGTAGAGTATTTCAGAAGTCAAGGAGGAGACAAGTTTTAAGGAAGAGGAAGTACAAAAAATGGTAAATACTAAAGAGATTGCCTATTGAGAAAAGGCCAGCAATATGGTCACTCATGATCTACAAGAAAGTCTCCATAGGAAAGAGGGGAGGAATAAACGGGTGGTGATGGTTATAAAAAGATGACGAAAGCAGACAGTGAGACCACTCTTTTGAGAAATATAGTGGTGAGAACCACCACCGTTAATACGCTGAAGAGGAGCTAGATCAAAAGATGATTTTCGGCCGGGCGCGGTGGCTCAAGCCTGTAATCCCAGCACTTTGGGAGGCCGAGATGGGCGGATCACGAGGTCAGGAGATCGAGACCATCCTGGCTAACACGGTGAAACCCCGTCTCTACTAAAAAAATACAAAAAACTAGCCGGGCGAGGTGGCGAGCGCCTGTAGTCCCAGCTGCTCGGGAGGCTGAGGCAGGAGAATGGCGTGAACCCGGGAGGCGGAGCTTGCAGTGAGCTGAGATCTGGCCACTGCACTCCAGCCTGGGCGACAGAGCAAGACTCCCCCCAAAAAAAAAAAAAAAAAAGATGATTTTCTTCCCCTTTCAGGACTTCATCAGACCTCTTCGCAGAAAAATGGACTGAATAAAACATAGGAAGAATAAGGTTTTGAGGAAGCAGGAGAGGTTGGGATAAAAAGCAAAGATCTTAAGGAACTAATCTTGGCACTAAAGAATGGCAGTCAGGAGAGGTACGAGAGGAGGTGTGAGGAATCATGGATTTTTTAAGTAGAAAGGCGAGGCAGTTCTTCAGACAGCCTTGTTTTTCTCATCAATGGAAGGGAATTAGCTGCAGCATGTGTGAGGGATTTGATGCTTAAGAAACTGAGAAAGGAAAGGTGGAGGTGGCCAGGCGTGGCGGCTCACGCCTGTAATCCCAGCACTTTGGGAGGCTGAGGCGGGTGGATCACCTGAGGTCAGGAGTTCAAGAGGAGCCTGCCCAACATGGTGAAATCCAGTCTCAACTAAAAATTCAACAAATTACCCGGGTGTGCACACCTGTAATTCCAGCTACCCAGGAAGGTGAGGGAGGAGAATCGCTTGAACCCTGGAGGTGGAGGTTGCAGTGTGCCAAGAGCCTCCCATTGCATTCCAGCCTAGGCAACAAGAACGCAACTCAATCTCAAAAAACAAAACAAAACAAAAAACAAAAGGAAAGGTGAGGTAACCCGGATATAATCTTAGATATGGCATCAAAAGGTTGTGTTCAAGTTCCAGATATGTTAACTTGGGCTGGCCATCCAAGAGCTGGCAAGACCTCTTTAAGGCCATTTCCTTACAATATTGTTAAAGGTTAAATGAGATACGGCTAAATGAGATACTGCACGTGTAAATTATAAAGCACTTCTCAAACAAGAGAAGCTTGAAACTACCACCACAAGAAATGTGATACAGCATGAACAAGAGATGAAGTAAAGCACAGTCAAGCAGCAGGGAGGGTAAAGGTGAAGTTCAAAGCAAGAATATATAGCAAACCCAAGTCCACACAGTTTTTGTGACTTCCTCCAGCCTACTGGAGACGCGAATGCAGATTTTGAGAGCAGATGCAAGAAGCACAAGAGGCTGAAAAAAATCTAGGTAAGGACTATTTAAAAATCTTTGGGGATGTGCTTAACATTTGGAACTTACTTGCACATTTTATATAAAGGTGGCATTTGACTCATTGGCGTGTTTTATTTTGGAAATGGCTAAACATTTCAGTTTTATATTTTACAGCTTTTTTTTCATATTTTTTCATATTTCATATTTTTCTTTTTCAGATTCCATATTTTTAAAAGCTTAGGCTCCAGACGCTACACCTATAGCATGAAACGGATAATGAAGGCATCAGTGAAACAGCCGCCCACTGGGTCCAAATTAAGTAGGGAAGGTCATGAACAAAGAAAGCAGTGAGGGCCCAGTAGACAGGCTGACGCGACTGGAGATAAGAACAGGTGGAGGGGAAGGGAGCAGCTGTTTCCATTTTTGGAATTTTGGAGAATCAGGAGACGCCCGGTAAGGCCAGAGAAGGAGGCCGTGTAATTATAAAGTTAAAGGGGTCGGACGTGTTCATCTTCCAAATTAGTTTTGAGCCCACAAAGGGCTTGTCCCTCACTGTCACCGTCCATTGTCCCATTGTGACCAGGCAGGAGCCCTCCGTGATTGACTGATAAAAACAGCGGGTCTAACTCGCTCAGCTCGTTTCTGTTACACAGAAATGTGGAATCCTGGGTGACATTCAACTCCTTAGGTCATCTGCATTCTCCCCGGACGGAGAAACAAAGCCTTCCCGAGCCCAAGAAGGAGGATGGCGCTCCCCAGGCCGGTCGAAGTAAGCCCTCCATTCCAGACCTCGGCTCCACGGTCTCCCAAACCGGTTCCCGGAACGCGAGCCTGAGATGCCCTCACCCCCGGAAAATACCCAAAGCCAGGGAGCCGCGGAAGTGCTTGTACCCAGCACGCTAGGCGTGATGGACCTGTGAGTTACAATAAGCGCCGGAGGACAGAAGGGAGCCTCGCAGCCTTACACCGGCGTGGAGCAGGAACGTCTGGCGCCCCCGAGCGGCCAAGCCCTCAGGAGCCAGAAAAACGTCTCCCACTCCCAGCACGGGGCCAACTGACAGTGCCATCCACCAATGGGAGAGCCCAGTCTGCGTTCGTGGGACCAGTCCGAGGGCACAAAGAGGGCCGTCCCGGCAGCAAATCAGCGTGGCTTTTAAAGAGGCCCTGAGGCCTCTCTGGTCACCACAGAGATAGAGGGACAGTCCCTGTGAAACGGTGACGCCGACTACACTATGCCGCTTGTTCCCAGCCTTCGCCTTTTCCTCCCGCCGCACTCTAAGCCCTTCGGCCGCCCCGCCCACGACCTTGTCAGGTCCCGCCCCCCGCGTGAGTGGACTGGCGAAGATGTGGAATTACCAAAACTTATTGGATGCTTAGTGGCGTCACTCTGGAGGGCGGCGGGGCCCGGAGCGGCGAGGGCCGCCCCTCTCGGACGGTGATTGGACTCGCCGGAGTAGACCGGGTTGGGATTGGTGTGAGGAGGGGCGAGAGCCCGCGGGCGTCCTGGGTCGAGGCGAGGGGGAGGCGGTGGCCACCGAGAAGCCGGCAGGGGCTTGCAAGTCCCTCGTCCGGCGCGCGCCCTTCGCAGAGGGAAGGAGCAGGAGGGCCCCTACCTCATCGTGCGCGGGCGGGGTCGGCGCTTGTCGCGTGTGGGGCGCAGTGGGGCGGGCGGCGGGAGGGGGGGTGGCCGTGGAGGGAGCGAGAGATGCAGGGGTGACTTTGTTGGCAGCAGGACTAGCTGTAGAGCTAGACCTGGAAGCGCATCCGGGGAGGACTTACGGGGCAGAGGAGGGCGTGGGTGTGTCTGGTATGGGATGCAGTGGAAAGGAGGGGGCCCTCCTGATTAGGTCTGTGGGTGGTTCTTTTGAGGGAGCCTGGTCTTCCCGTCTGCCCTTTTATTTGTCAGCGAGGGAGTCCCCATGGTCTCTGTTCAAGTTCTGGAAACTTTCTCTTTGGGTGGGCTTAATCATCTCCTACTACATCGTAGAACTGCCCAGGGCCCTTTCTGATACTGGTCACAAACGTGGGGAGTATGTCAGAAAACAGAAAGCCGCTGCTGGGCATTGTAAGCAAACTCCCTAATGGGACTGCACTTGGAAACTCAGGCAAGACTCACTGCCCCTTGTGCTTGGGGCTTTTCAAAGCCCCCAGGCTCTTGCCTTGTTTGCATACAGTTTGCACCACGTGTCTGGAGCAGCTGGAGCCCTTCTCAGTAGTGGACATCCGAGGGGGAGACTCTGACACAAGCTCTGAGGGGTCAATATTCCAGGAACTCAAGCCACGAAGTCTGCAGTCGCAGATCGGCATCCTCTGTCCGGTATGTGATGCTCAGGTGGACCTGCCCATGGGTGGAGTGAAGGCTTTAACCATAGACCACCTGGCCGTGAATGATGTGATGCTGGAGAGCCTGCGTGGGGAAGGCCAGGGCCTGGTGTGTGACCTGTGCAACGACAGGGAAGTAGAGAAGAGGTGTCAGACCTGCAAAGCCAACCTCTGCCACTTCTGCTGCCAGGCTCATAGGTAACGATGGGACATTGCACCCGGTGCAGCTTAAGAGCAGATTACAAAGGTGTCAAGACAGAAATCCCTTGGTGAGCAGATGAAAAGGAAAGCCTTCTCAAATACTGTGGAAGGTCAAAGAGCAATATAACGATGCAGTAGCAAATACTCTAGTACAACAGTTAACCCGGTCAGCCTAATATAGTACCTGTAGCAATAGCAATGGAGGTTTTCATAATCCCTTTCAATTTACAAAGTGCAGCTACAGTTTCCTTCAATCATCAATCATTCATGTAGTGAATAATTGTACTGGGTGCTGGAGAAATAGGAGAATGAATATAATAGCATAGATCCTGCTCTTTATCTCCTTTGATCTTGCAACTCTTGCAGGAAAGCAGGCCCTGTTTTCACCCCCATTTATTAACTGGGGAAACAAGGTCAGCAATATTTGATTTGCCAAGGTCCTACAGTTGGTGAGTGTGTAACAGAACTGAGTATTAAATCCAGATCATTCTGACTACATTCCACTAACCCATGCTACACTCCTAGAATAGGTGGTGATTGGCTGGACCTCAGCTTTTGCTTTGTACCTTAGAGTTACTCTGGAGCTTGGTGAGGTGGGCAGGTATTAATTGGGGTGTTAATTGGGGTGCAGACTACGTCTTTTATGGCATTTGGTGAATAGTTTGTCAGATGGATCATTTTGTCCCTTCTTACTCTACCTTACCCCATCCTAGGACACCAGAATATAAAATGACCACGGTTTTAGGATTAGCCTAAAATAGATTTTGGGTTCTAACTTCCATTTGTTTTCTGGCTACACTAACAGAACAAGTTTGTAGACTTCACTCTATTTTTAACTTGTAATTATGTGATAGTCCCTGCAACTGTCTTGCAGCCAGCCAAACCAGCTGACCCTATTTTCTCTGCAGCCACTCTTCTGGTGCCAGAATAGGCATATAAGCTTGAAATTGATATAATGCTAATGGAGGAACTCTGAACAGTCACCATGTTTTCCTAGGGATTTCCCTACATCTCTAGAGGGCTACTACAGGAAAGAAATTAGAGAACTTTGATTCTACTAACCATCGGTTTCACACTTTTTTTTTTTTTTTTTTTTTTTGAGATGGAGTCTCACTCTAGTCGCCCGGGCTGGAGTGCAATGATGCAATCTCCGCTCACTGCAGCCTCCATCTCCTAGGTTCAAGCGATTCTCCTGCCTCAGCCTCCGCAGTAGCTGGGATTAGAGGCACACACCACCACATCTGGCTAATTTTTTGCATTTTTAGTAGAGAAGGGGTTTCACCATGTTGACCAGGCTGGTCTCAAACTCCTGACCTCAGTTGATCTGCCCACCTCAGCCTTCCAAAGTGCTGGGATTACAGGCGTGAGCCACCGCGCCCGGCCGGTTTCATGCTTTCTAATAATGTTGACAATGTCTCTTGAAAAAAATTCTAGCCTGTTGATTTGGGTAATATAGGTACTGGTCAATAGAAATGCTTCACCAAAATCTTAGATGCAAGCTGGATGAGACTTGGTGTCAGGATCAGCTATCTGCTTTTTAATTGCTTGGACTTTATTACTGTGTTATCTGGCATGGTTTCTGTTTCTTGGTGCTAGTTTTCTGCCATGCCCTCGCTGCTAGCTTACCTTAGGAAGCCGACTGTGGCTCTTGTCTAAACTCTTTGGGGAAAGTCCTAGCATGCAGTCATAGCCTTGCAGCCTTCTACATAGACATGTAGCAAGCCAGAGCTCTAGTCTGTTCACATGTTATTCTATACAGCAGCTCTTGCAAGTAGGGATTGTCTCCACTGTACAGACAAGAAACTGGAATCAGAAAGGATCATGCAATTAGAGATTAGAGCAAGGAATTGAAATCAAGTTTGTTTAACTTCAGAGCCTGTGCTCCTGAAACACCTCTGCCCAACTATTCCCAACTAGAGTTATTCCCTTATTTCCTGTTATTGACTCTCTTTGCCCCTAGGCGGCAGAAGAAAACGACTTACCACACCATGGTGGACCTAAAAGACTTGAAAGGCTACAGCCGGATTGGGAAGCCCATCCTGTGTCCTGTTCATCCTGCAGAGGAACTGAGGCTGTTCTGTGAGTTCTGTGACCGGCCCGTGTGCCGGGATTGCGTGGTGGGGGAGCATCGGGAACACCCCTGTGACTTCACCAGCAACGTCATCCACAAGCATGGGGACTCTGTGCGGGAGCTCCTCAAAGGTACTCAGCCCCACGTGGAGGCCTTGGAGGAAGCCCTGGCTCAGATCAACATAATGAACAGTGCCCTGCAGAAGCGAGTGGAGGCAGTGGCAGCTGATGTCCAGACATTCTCGGAGGGCTACATTAAGGCCATTGAGGAGCATCGGGACAAGCTGCTGAAGCAGCTGGAAGACATACGAATCCAGAAAGAAAATTCCCTGCAGCTGCAGAAGGCCCAGCTGGAACAGTTACTGGCAGACATGCGGACTGGAGTGGAGTTCACCGAGCACTTGCTGACCAGCGGCTCAGACTTGGAGATCCTTATCACCAAGGGGGTGGTAGTAGAACGGCTCAGGAAGCTGAACAAAGTTCAATATAGTGCCCGTCCTGGAGTAAATGATAAGATACGCTTCTGTCCTCAGGAGAAAGCAGGCCAGTGCCATGGCTATGAAATTTATGGTACCATTAATACCAAAGAGGTTGATCCAGCCAAATGTGTCCTACAAGGAGAAGGTAGGAAGGCATTTCCCATTGACATTGAGAAGGCAGTCTACAGGGAGATGGTGTGTAAAGATTGGTGGCTTGTTTTGCTAGGAAGCACGCCCTACTGACCAGGTTACCAAAGGTGGGGAGATAAACTGATCCGAAAGACAGTGACCCTCACCTTTGCCCTTTCTGGTTTGTTCTGGTTAGGGTACAGTTAATACAGGAGTGAGGCTTGACCCTTTTCCTGTTCAGAGAAGTAGTAACAGCTGAGAAGCACATAGATTATGCTTTGTTTCTATCAGATGGCAGAACAGAGACAGTGCCCATTGGAGGTAACAGCAGTGACTAGGGCCCGGTGAAATTCTGCCTGCTCAGAGAGGAGCATGGCAGACCCTGGTTTCCTAGATCAAGTTCTGAAGGGGGTTTCAGAGGAGTAAGGAAGATGAGATTACGGTTTCCTTTCCTTTAGGCCCTTTTTGGTTCACATCCACCTTACTGGCATTTAAAAGGATATGGTAGGGGTTTCATTTAATTGGGGGAAAAATGGTTTCTTTTGACGAACGTTCCCTTTCTAATGGAAGCATGTTATTAAAACACATTTCACAGGTCAGTCCTGATAGGAAGATTGCATCTTAAGGGTCATCAGACTCTTGACACAGGCATTCTTAACTGTTTGGAAGCCATAGATTTCTTTGAGAATGTTCTCTCCTACAGAAACACCCAGTAACTTGTGCATACAATTCCAGATTTTTAGACTCTTCATAAGCCTTTCCATAGACCTCATAGTAGTTCATGAACCCCAGGTTAAGAAACCCTGTTTCATCTGAATGCTGGAGTAGGGGCTGTAGCTACTGGATAGCCCTCCAATACCTTGGCATGAGCTACCAAGTTGCAGAGGATCTCACAACATGGAGGGTCATGAGGCTGGTCACCTGTACTCCCTGCCTAGCCCAGCGGGATCCGGAGTTTAGGGAGGGTGGTTTTGGGGTTGCTAGCCTCTCTCACAAGGTCTAGAAGTTTTCTTCTCTAAATACCTAGGTCGGTCCTGAGTATTTTTAAAGCCTCCTAGGACTGAAGGTAAAGTCCAGGATCCTGTGTGATCCAAAGCAGCTGATAGCTGAGAGAACCAGGCTAACCAGGAAGGACTCCCAGGAGGTGTACTCTAGGGGGCAGAAGGGGAAGAGAAAAGAAAGGGAGCCAGGGTGGTTACAGTAAGCAGGAAAGTACAACCCTTTGTTCTGAAGAGAAAAAGCAAGATGGAGATGTAGTCACTGCAGTTTACGTTTGAGGTGAGGACCGAGTGTTTATCTTTTTCAGACCTCCACAGAGCCCGGGAGAAACAGACAGCCTCTTTCACCCTGCTTTGTAAGGATGCCGCAGGAGAAATCATGGGCAGGGGAGGAGACAACATTCAAGTTGCCGTTCTCCCTAAGGATAAGAAAGACAGGTTTGTATGCCACAAGTAGGTGTCATGGATAGCAGGCAGTGAGAAAACTGGAAACATGAGGTCCTTTAAGATATTGGAACTGGGCACGGTGGCTCACGCCTGTAATCCCAGCACTTTGGGAAGTGGAGGCAGGAGGATCGCTTAAGCCCAAGAGTTTAAAACCAGCCTGGGCAACATAGGAAGACTCCGTCTCTACCAAAAAAAAAAAAAAATTATAGGCATATCCCTATAATCCTAGCTATTCAGGAGGCTGAGATGGGAGGATCCCTTGAGCCCAGGAGCTTGAGGTTGCAGTGAGCTGTGATTGCGCCACTGCACTCCAGCCTGGTAACAGAGCAAGACCCCAGGTCAAAAAAAATATATTGGAGTGCAACTAAGTAATTACATCTTACCTCCCCATAATACTATGAAACGTTACATGACCAAATGTGTTTTCTTGTGTGGATTTTGTATTCAATTCTCTCTCAAAGCTGTGGTGTGCCCCTCAGATTCTTTTCATCTCCAGCTTTAGAATAAGTTGAAAAATCTTCTGTGTTAGACTGAATGGTACCCTTTTCAAAAATCAGTCTCCCTTTGGTACTAAATTATGCCTGGAACATGTTTATATTTCTCTGGAATTGGAGAATGGAGGAGGCACAGCAGAGCAAGAGGGTTCAACAGAAGCCTGTTGAAAAGGACGCAATAATATATTCAAGGAATTTGTCTGAATATCAGACTAAATTGGAATTTATGCAGTTTACCTTCTGTTGTAAAATTAACTTTTGAGGCAAATGGAAGAAGCATCCTGTTTGGGTATATTTAACATTAATACTGAATGGAATGGTGTAGTTTACATTCTGAAATAGTAGCAACTAAAGCCGGCTTGTGGGAGTGAGTGGTGTTTTGACTCTTATCTCCATTCAGCCCAGTCAGACCAATGGTGCAGGATAACAAGGATGGGACATACTACATTTCCTACACCCCCAAGGAGCCTGGTGTCTATACTGTGTGGGTCTGCGTCAAAGAACAGCATGTGCAGGTAAGACTGGTGCACGTGCTTCCCTGAGCTCCCTGGCTTCTACTGTCTTAGGATCTGGAGATGTTTCGCATAGAATCAGCTATACAGAGAGATTGAATAGAATCCCCATGTCTTCTTCTTCACTTTAGAAACAGCCCAGATTTTGCTACTCTTATTCTTCCTGGAGAATATGCTGTTGACCATAAGGATGCTGTTGACCTCTATCCCTGTGTCACTTCCTGGCAGTTATGCGTATAGTTTATCATTCTCCCAGTCAGTTTCTTAGGATTCTTAATATGGAGAAGATGTCTTGATCACAGGGGGTGATCTGCCAGCAGACAACCATGCATATTCAAAAAATATAATCTAGCTCAGAATTCTCCAGTTTTGTCCAGACTGTATCTGGCCATGAACACAGTTGAGAGAGTTACGCCCCCTCCTCACAACTGACTAGTCAGCTATCTGCCTAACCATCTGCTTATGTAATTTTCTACTCTGTTTTACATATAGGTTTTTCTGTTACTATGGTTACTATAAACAAACAAATATACCAAACAAGTTATGTTACCATGGTTTCTACAAACAAGTATAACACAAACAAGTAGAGCACTTTCCGCTTTAGAGATTATGAGTTTTTAAAAATTGGGTGATACTAACAGGTCCAGCAGAATCTTTCTGCTGACCTTGGAGTACTCAGAGATTTCCCTCCACAGAAATCAACACTGACAGGGACAGTAAAATACCATACAGCATCATGATATGTTAGGCTTATGATTTGTGCACTTAGGAACACTCATATTTAAAAGCCATTTATTTACTTAATTATGGTATGTCAGGAACAGATTAGGTGTTTTTACATACGTTATTTCAATTTTCCTCAAAACCACTCAGGCATAGGGATCAGTGTCCAATTAGACCAAGAGACCAAACTTGCATTAAAATACACAGCAAATATAGCAAAATGGGAATTTGAACCCATTTCTTTGAATGCCAAGTTGTTTTTTAACTGGATTGTAAACTCTTTAAGATGGGAAATTTAACATCTGAAAGACTTCTAAGGTGCTAGGCTCTCTGCTTTGCGTTTTCTCTAACAGTGTGGCTCTCACATAAGGATAGGCACATTGCAACTTATTAAATATTTAAATTTGGCATGATGGTGTGTACCTGTAGTCCCAGCTACTTGGGAGGATTGCCTGAGCCCAGGAGCTCAAAGCTGCAGTGAGCTATGGTTGTACCAGTGCGCTCCAGCCTAGTGACAGAGTGAGATCCCATCTTTAAAAATATATATATTTTTTGTTTAATATGGGATATAAATTAGAGAATGAAAGTTATCCTTAAAGGAAAGGGAGCAGATGGGAGAGTTACTAATTTGAGGATTATTAGCTGTACACATTTTAACCTTTCTCCCTTCCATATGTCTTCACTGTCACAGAATAAGTGGGTGAGTAAACAGATAAGTCATGTCCAGGATGGAAGGAAAGAGGCTAGCTTCGTATGTGAGAAGAGGTACAAGGCTGAGAAATTGGAGAAGGGACCACAGGATGTCCTATCTTTGTGGTTGCGATATTCTACTTATTACACCTGAGGTTCCTTAAGAATTGAGATTGAGAATCCCAGAGAAAAGTCAGTCTGAGATTACTAATGTATTGAATGACCTAGATCCTTATACTTCATACAAGGATAGAGTGAGGCAGAATCCATTAAAAAAAGCTTAAGCTTCTTGTGGCATGGGATTCTGCTTTTGCTGCCATCTTGCCAGAACAATCCCCAGCTAATACAGATGTCACTGAAAATGCAGCTGACGCTGTGTGACTCCTGTCAGTGCCCAGCAGGTTCGGCTACACGGAATAAATCAGTACTTGAGTCTAGTACTCAGCATCTGCGGTGAAAAGCATGGTAGGAGGGCTGCACAGACCAGGTAGTGCTTCCACTGCCTCTGTATCTGCCCCCTCTCAGCTGAGCAGGGTTCTTGCCCTCTAATCTGTTTCTTTCCTGGTGTCCTTGTCCCTCCAAGGGCAGGCCCTGTGCCTCAGACTCTGTTTAGCACATAGCGATGCTCAACACATGCTGTTAACTCGTAAGATGCTGTTCTTTGCTTTTGGTCTGAACACTGAAGGGCTCGCCATTCACTGTGACCGTGAGGAGAAAGCACCGCCCACACCCAGGTGTGTTTCACTGCTGCACCTTCTGCTCCAGTGGAGGCCAGAAAACCGCTCGCTGCGCCTGTGGAGGCACCATGCCAGGTAAGGAGAAAGCACTACCTGGGCCTTTCTGCCAGCAGCGGGAATCAAGCGATGGGCCCTTCCCCACCACACAGCCACGAGACATTTGGACTTAGGCTCTGTTTCTAGGAAGCACAGTTTGTGATTGTAGAGACACCACTATTCTGAAAGTTTCACTTAAAGCTTCCTTGTTCTGAATTGAAATAGCAGGCTTAAAAGCTCTGAGTTCTGTTAGTTTTGGTACAGCTCCTATGAGCCCTGTGCTTCTATGTCGGATTCTCAGTTTGTCCCTTTCCAGCAGCCTGAGCAGTGTGAAAACTGTGGACCCATCTTATTCCTTTTAGTATCTTAAATAAATTCCAAATGAGGCATGGCTGGGGGAGTGGATGATTAAACCAGTTGAACAAGGTCTGGGTCTTTCAGGGGGACGGAAAGGATAGGGAGTTTAGGTAAAGGATCTAATTACTTTAAAAAAAAAAATTACTGTGTCCTTACTCTAATAATGGGCCGTAAAATGGGCTTTTGCATCCTTCTGTATAAACACTTGAGGATCTACCTCGGTTTTTTTTCTATGTCCACCAACCTATCCTTTTTTATTTCAGTGATTTTACAGTTAAAATCCAAACCAATTTATTTTATAGTTAATGTGCAAACTAGTTCGCCTCCTTCAGGTGGTAAGTTTTATCACTACAGCATTCTTAGAACTCTGGCTAACATGAGTTGATTTGCTGTGATCAATTTTCAGGGTCCTCCTGACTACACAGCAGTCAGACAGCTTGTTCCTCTTGCCAAGACTTTCTTAGATATTTTCACTCCATGAATCTGCATGTTGCCAGGAGGTCGGTCTAATTTCCGCGATAATGGTAACCGCCAGACTCCACTCTAATGGTTGATTTTTGTCCTTTCCTCTTTGTCCCATGTAGGTGGGTACCTAGGCTGTGGCCATGGACACAAAGGCCACCCAGGTCGTCCCCACTGGTCATGCTGTGGGAAGTTTAATGAGAAGTCTGAATGCACGTGGACAGGTGGGCAGAGCGCATCGAGGAGTCTACTTAGGACTGTGGCTCTCTGATGGCTTTGTGCTCAGCCTTTTAAAGCTGCAGTCAGCACCACCTGAGATTTCCAGAGGACCCAGACCTTCGTTCTTTCTAAAGAGACTGATAGAATTAAAAACAAAGTGCCTTATCTTGCACTGGAGTTCAGGTGCTCTTTTGTTACTCACTGATTGTACTTGTGGATGGTTGAGCACAAAAGACCACCTCTACATTTCTCTTAAAGGTAGGTTGGCAAACGTTCTTTTTCTACCACACAAGACTCCTTTTCATTTTGTACAGTATGGAGGTATCTATTCCATTGGAACTGAAGGGTCTAGGTAGTTTAGTTAGTTCCTTTGTGATATGACCCTTTTTTTTTTAGACAGAGTCTCATGATCTTGGCTCACTGCAACTTCCGCCTCCCGGTTCAAATGGTTCTCCTGCCTCGGCCTCCCGGGTAGCTGAGATTACGGGTCCCCGCCACCACGCCCAGCTGATTTTTGTGTTTTTAGTAGAGATGGGGTTTCACCATGTTGGCCAGGCTGGTCTCAAACTTCTAATGACCTCGTGATCCACCCGCCTCGCCTCCCAAAGTGCTGGGATTACAGGCGTGAGCCACCACACCTGGCCTATCATGACCTTTTTTATTTTTCTCTGAGCTACACATTATTTAGATATTTCCCCTAGAGATTAGAAACCTCCTTTCATCCTGTCTGCTTTTTGTTAGCATACTTTCAGTGGATTTACTGGTACATGTTCCGTGATCATGATAATGTGATCTTGTTTTGGTGGTGTCCCCCCCCCCCGCCCCCATGCCATGTCAGCCTTCTGCCCCAAAGCCTGAAGATTACTCTTTGGTCAAGGGCATACAAATAGAAAGTTAATAAAGGGGAGTGGTGTTGAAATAGAACCTCATACGTTTATTACAGTTCTACTCATGCCAGAAAATCTAGACACCTTCATACTTCTCACAGGTCTGTTTTTGGTAGAGTAGTCTTTAGAGTAGTCTTCACTGTTGTTTATATACCTAGAAAGTTAACTGGGAGCTTTGACTCTTAATGTGCCTTCACTCATAGTGTGCCTTCTTAGCTGCTTGAGAATTCTGGGGAGAGGATGTACACAGCACTAGTGCCTCAGCCCTGCCAAGGTCTTCACTGTATATATTTCGTGTGTTCTTCTGAGAGTCTTGATTTCCTATATAGCAATAAACTCAGCATATATTAAATATAATTAGCGAAATCTGCATTTTAAGATCCCTTAAGAGGTGGATGACGCCTTTGGTGAATTGGGTCAGGCAAAGGAAGTGAAATAATTAGATGATGACTGTCAGATCATTGTGGAATACATTTCCTCTTTGAGGCTGACAGACATGGGCTACATTGTAGCCATAAATACTAAGATGTTCTCTGTGTTCTCACCCTTTTCTGGAAACATTCCCTTCAGCCTCTTTCTGTAACCCAAATCTGATCTTTCCAAAACACATTCCTGCCCGTCACCCTCTCAAATTATTAGCTATTTGCTCGTCCTCACTCCTTGTGTCACTCAGCCCAGAAGTACATGTCCTTTTAGCTTATTACTACTGCTTTGAGATGAGTGGTTCTTTTTTTTTTTTTCTTCGAGATAGAGCCTTGCTCTGTTGCGTAGGCTGGAGTGCAGTGGCGCGATCTCAGCTCACTGCAACCTCCACCTCCCAGGTTCAAGCGATTCTCCTGCCTCAGCCTCCCGAGAGTAAGCTGAGATTACAGGCACATGCCACTACGCCCGGCTAATTTTTGTATTTTTAGTAGAGACAGGGTTTCACCAGGTTGGCCAAGATGGTCTCGAACTTCTGACCTCATGATCCGCCCACCTTGGCCTGCCAGAGTTCTGTGATTACAGGCGTGAGCCACCGTGCCTGGCCGAGATGAGTGGTTCTTAACCAGGAGGGACTTTGCCCCTAAGAGGACATCTGGCAAAGTCTCAGAGATATTTTTAGTTGCCACTACTGGGGCAAGGTGCTACTAGCATCTTGCGGGTAAAGGTCAAAGATGCTGCTAGTCATTTTACAATGCTCAGGACAGCTTCCTGAAACGAAGTATCCAATCCAAAATGTCAGTGGTTCCACTGCTGAGAAACCCCGTTCTAGGGCATTAGCCATTTTTTTTTTTTCTAAAAATGGCCAGCCTTGGAGCTCATGCCTTTCAGCTATACAGCTTGCTATTCCTCCATGGTTCAGCCATCTACTGAGCCCCAAATTGTTCCCCTCCATTCCTTGAAGATTATAGCATTGAGCTTGCTATGACTCCGGTACAACTCCTTATCAGTCTTGGGATAACTCATTGTCTACACAGACTTCTTAGTTCTGTGACCATTTCCCCAATGTTATTTTTTCCCTACTTAGCCTTACATATCCTAGATCTTGATTCCAACTGCACACTCTGCATAGTCTTAGTTTCAGGCATCCTGCAACCACAACCTCCCACCTTTCCAGCTCACCCACTGTAATAACCTGACTACTAATTCGTCTACCTCTTTGGAACCCACAATGCAGTGATTCTGCCACCTTCCTGTTGTTCCTCTCACCCACCTCAGGTCCTTCCCTTCATGCTTCCCAGCTTAGATTCTACAGACCATCACTATAATCACTCTATTGCATAGTCTCCCTCTATCATTCTTGCCTGGCAAAACTCCAACCCAGGTTAGATCCAGCTTTCCATCTAACCCAACTGAATGATCCTTAAAAAAAAAAAAAAAAAAGCGTGATGACTAGCCTCACTTTAAATTTATGACCACTAATTTCAGTGGGCCTTAGCATTGCCCGATAACCTGAAACATCTCCCCAGTCCATTTATTCTCCCATGCTTCTAGACAATTCATACTTTCTTCCCCTCAAACTCCAATTTCTACCCCACCTCTACTCTGTACTTATGACCTTGCTTCCTATTTCACCAAGAATATAAAAGGATTCAGAGGAGAATTTCCCTAACCTCCCTACCACATGTACACATCTATCCAAATTCCTATCAAGAGCCAACTTCTATCCCGTGTACTAAATGCCATTCTGTGGCTATTGCCCGAGAACATTGCTTCAGTAATTTCCCCCTCTACCAGATTGCTTACTTCAGAAAATAAATATGGTACAATATTCCCTCTTCAAATACAAGTTTCCCTTTGGATTAGTTGGCTAAGGCTGCCATAACAATACCACGGACTGGGTGGATTAAACAACAGAAACTAGTTTTCTCACGGTTCTGGAGTCTGGAAGTCCAAAATCTAGGTGCTGGCAGGGTTGTTTTTTGGTGAGGACTCTGTCCTTGGCTTGCAGATGGCAGCCCTCTGTTTTCACATGGCCTTTCTCCTGTGTGCATGTGCTCCTGGTATCTCTTCATATAAGGACACCAAACCTATTGGATTAGGACCCCACCCACATGTGGTCATTTAACCTTAATCACCTCCTTAAAGGTTCTTTCTCCAAATAGAGTCGCACTGGGTGTTAGGGCTGAGTTTTCAAGAAGAATTTCACAACCCACTTTAGCAACTTCCCCCCTTTTCTGCTCCTCTTTAAAAGGACCTCAAAAGAATTGTTGTTTGGTATCTCTAGTTTCCCTCCCATTCTCTGTAAGATCTAATCCAGTCAGTCAGTCATCCTCAGGACTCCACTGAAATAGCTGTTGTCAAGGTTACCGGTAAACTCCAGGTTACAGAATCCAGTGTTCAATTCCCAACCTTTATCTTTTTTGACCACCCAATATCAGAGAAATCTTTTAAAACATGTCAGCTCATGTCACTCTTCTGCTCACCACTGTCCATTGGCCTCGCATCTCAGAAAAGCAAGCCTTTACATCAGCATGTAAGACCCCACATGATCTGGATCCCTGCTCTTACTGCCCACCCATCCGCCTCCATCACCCTGTTCCAGCCAAACTGGCCTGCCTCGTGCTCCTCAAACTCTCCACGCACTGTCTTGGGGCCTGAATCACTGCCCCTCCATCTGAAATGCTTTTTTCACAGATACCTTCATGGTTCATGTTCCTCTCAAGTTCCCACTCCAGTGTCAAATATCACCCTATTAACTACTCTGTACAAAATAGCAACTTCCCACCCCAGAGTTGCCCAGTTTCATCGCCATCTCACATATATGTATATGTTTTGTGGTTTGTATTTTTTTTTTTTTGGAGACAGGATCTCTGTCTCTCTGTTGCTGAGGCTGGAGTGCAGTGGCACGGTCTTGGCTCACTGCAGCCTCTGCCTCCCGAGGTTCAAGTGATTCTCCCACATCAGCCACCGAAGTAGGTGGAACCATAGGCGCACCCCACCATGCCCGGTGAATTTTTTGCATTTTTTGTAGAGATGGGGTTTTGCCATGTTGCCCAGGCTGGTCTCAGAAACTCCTGGCCATCTCAAGCCTCTCGAAGTGCTGGGATTACAGGCCAACATACGTATGTTCTGTTTGTTGTCTGCCCTCTCATGCTAGATTGTAAGCTGTATGAGGGCAGGGATTTGATATTTTTAAACTACCATTCTGTCCCCATGTAGGACAGTTCCTGGCAGATAGTAGAGACTTCATATTATGATCAGTGAATAAAGATCTAATTGGTAGAATTTTTAGTTTGGATCTCCTTGGTATCTGTTTTATAAGCCAGACTTCCCTTCTCCCAAACCTCAGTATTTGTCATTTAAACAAATACCACTTGGAAAAGCAGCAGCCTTATCTCAAGCCTGTTGGATAAATTATATGCACCTGAGAGACCAGCCTTGAATTTTCCAGTTACCTCATCTAGGGAACTGCTTGCCATGAAGAAGCCTGTTTATTATATCATCTTTCCCCATTTGCCTTTTAATGAATCCGATTTCAGAATTGAGAACAAAAAGCTTACCATTTATTTCAGTTGGAGGTGGTTTCAGTGATTGGACAACTTTATGTAGATGAAGTAACATTGCAATAGAAAATTTCCATAAGACGTCGAGGTTCTGGCTAATGTGTTAGCCTTTAAGCAATATTAATGGTAACAATTCTGTTACAAATACTTAAAGTTTGTGTGTGGGTGTTGGGGATCGGGGCACTGTCTCATGCATGCACTACAGTGGAGTCCAAACCCAATTTAACTGAGCTGTCTTGCCTGCTGAAAGACCTGGCAGAGTCAGTGATCAACAGAGCCCAAGACTCCAAGGTGAGGCAAAAAAAGAGTGGGAGGATTGAGTAGCTGTCCCCAGCGTAACAAAGTGCTTCAGAAATCACCTTTGAATTGTGAGCATTGAAGCATCAACAAGATGCAGCATTATGATGTAACTTATGCCTCTGGTGTTGCAGGTAAGAAAAAAGAGTTACAAATAAGAGCCTCTGTCCCCTGGGATGTTGCAACAGAATAAACACTTTGGCTGTCTTGGATAATAAACATACACATACCTGTCAGCCCACCCATATTCTAATGTCCAAAATGCAACAGTTGCTCAACTTTCCTCTAGAGAATGTATCCCTGTGTGGTAGGTTTGGCTCAATGAAGAGGTGGTTCAGTGAAGTGGATGCTCATTAGAAGCAGGATACAGTATAGGAAGAGGCATCTCACTCTGCCTTCTTAGCTCCTACATATTGATTTCCATTCTTTCATCACTTCCTCAGCTCTTCCCTGACTAGCTCCAATCCTGTTATAAGCCCTCCCAGCTGCACAGTCGTCTCTTGTAGCACTCACTCAGCATCATGGCTGCTTCACAGCCACGTGGGGTTATTTGATTAATGCCTGTCTCCCTTAGATGCTAAGCCTCAGGAGGACAGGATAGTTTTTCAGTTTTGCTTGCTTTTGTATTTCCAGTGCCCAGGAGTGCCTGGCATACAGAAAGTGTGCAATATACATTTCTGAATTACTGTATGAATAAGCAAAATAGTCTCATCCTTCCTTTCTTATGTAGTCTCTACCTATTAATACATTTGGATTTAGCTATGGAATCCGGGAAAAAAGAACTCAAGATAGTAGAAACATTGTGTAGCTGCCTGTCTGTCTCCCCTCTTCCCTCCCTGGGGGTTAGGCTGGGTTTTGCTTTTTTTTTCTTCTGCTTTTTCCATATCTATCTCCATCCCCTAACTACTGACTTCTGTGGTACTTTGTACTATAAATGACCTTGGTTTCATTTTGTTATGAAAACATTTTAGTCTAGGTCATATGTCTAGGAATTCTGAATTTCTAGTATAATTCTTTGTGCCTACGGATGTGCTTTTAAATTTTTCCTGCCCTTTTCCTAAGGCTAAATGCTAT